ATAGAACAGAGGTGAGTCTTGAAAAGCAAGGAGGGGCTGAAGTTTCATGGTCATAAACCGCATGTCTCTTTGGGGGTGTTGTTATTGACCCGTTTGCAAGCCAAGAGATGCCACAGAGAATTCGTTTTTGGAAAAGGGGAAATGGAAGATGAGCACCTCTAAACTATTTTTAAAATGAGATAGCCTAGGGGCAAGAGAGGAGGGACAGTCCTGCCTTAGATTATTTATTTTATTATTTATTTATTTATTTATTTATACAATGTATATAGCCGCCCATCTCACCATCAAGCGACTCTGGGTGGCGTACATTTCTATAATTTCTTTGGAGAAACGACAAGCTGAGTTATGCTTATTTGGGGGGGGGAAACTACAACAAAATATGCATTGACATTCATTTCTGGACTCTCAAACAATCGTAATATCGAGAAGAATAAATTGTAGGGGAAGAAGGATTGGGGGGAAATGCTACTGCGTTGTCAGTGTTGTCTGTACGGGCTGGGAGCTTGGAAACCTGACATGGTTTCTTTTGCTGATTGCACTGCCAATGCTCATCATATGCTCTGATGAAGCAGAAAGATCTAGCAGAGGTTTGGAGCTGGGAATAAGCACTAGTCTTAGCTTGGGGACCTAGTAATTTGGAGATGGGACAAAGAACCACACAGCAGCCTTAAAACTAAAAAATGCTAGTACTCACTCCCTGCTATCACACCTAAAGCCCATTTTGCAGGAAACAAGGTCTAAGATCCAAACTCTGGTATCTCCAAGGTTGGCCAGAACCCTTTCTGGAAATCTAGAGGACTTCTGATGATGAGAACAAATAATTTTAGATCTGATATAAGAGGAACTGCTATGACATACAGAACAGCTAATCTCAGAGACCGAATTTGCACCACACAATTGATATAACAAGACATGCCAACTTGAGTTAGCTTTAACTTTGGGTCATGGGTGTGGGGGGGGGCAAGGTGTAGTTTAGCATGTCGTGTAACCCATTTGGTTTGGCTAGGTGATTCCATGTGTTCTGAAAATGAGTTAATTCCCCTATCTTGTTAAATGTTTGTGGGAACCCATCCAGAAATAACATAGACAGAAGAAACTCACTAGAACATGGCCCACTCCATGTTTTGGTTCCACTCGTAAAGCCATGTTTGAAAAAGGGTGCATATGAAAAGTCCCATAGAGACATTCTGGCCAGGCACCATCTCAGTGTGACCTATCTTGCAAGACTGTTGTGATGAGAATAGGATGAAAGATAGGAATGGACCCTTCGCTTGTCAGCCAACTTGAAAAAATGTGAGCTATAAATGACAGTCCTGGGCTGGACTTCCAATGAACCACATTTTTTATCAGGAGTTTGATATACACGGTTTGCATTCAACCTGAAGGAAAGTCAGAATAAATATATGTAAAGGTTTTGAATTTTCCTGCATCACTTTCATACCGTTTGTAGTGCTTCCTCTAATACATGCTAGAAATCAATATATTAGCTTGAAAGCTTTATACCAGAGCAGTGAACTTGGACAATGAGCATTTATTAAAGGAGAAATCATTTGCTTTTGCCCTCTCTTATAAATTTAAAAAAGGCTTTTTAAATTTAATGTTCTTCTCAAATTCCTCTTGTTCCTGTGATTGTAAAGAGGACAGGCGAAAGAATAATGTTGTACTCTATTTTCCTAAAGTGAAAGATACAATTCTCAGGAATGAAGACATGCCCTAATTAAAATCTGGAATCCCATTAAAATGTCAAAATACTCACAGAAATAATCACTGGAGGGCCAATAGAATTATTTTCAGAAATCAGTAACTCTGGAAAGTATTAAACGTAGAAAACCAATATGGAACACTAAGTATACAGTAATTTTCCTTTTAACATGCTGGAATACACTTCTTTTCCACTTTAATATAAAATGATAGGCACGGTCTTGCTGAATTTTTAAAATGCAATGTTCTAACTCTTAAAAAAAAAGATATAATGCTAAGAAAAAGCAAAGTGGTCCTTATTTTATGTGGATTCTACTTCTTTGGGAGATGTAATTTCTTTGAGTCTAACAGGGTTGCAGCTGTCTTTTTCACCAAAGAGAAGCAGAAGGTTTATAGCAGAAGGTTGACCTTCAACGTCCTTTGCAGATAAAAGCAAGGCTAATCCCTCAGTTTTACGAAGGGCTGGGTGTGTTTGGAACTCCAGACGCCAAGCCCAAGTGTCAACCTTCAAGCTGTGCAAGAAGTCCCATGATCCGGTGACATCCCAGTCTTTAGATGATTTCAAAATGAGGACAGGGTTTCACCAGATCTCAAAGTCCCATTGCTTTCTAGATTAAAACATTGCACAAGGCGATAGAAGCAGAGAGAGTTGCCACTTGTTATGAGGACATCTTGATCAGAAGGGAGGAGGAGGAGGAGGAGAAGGAGAAGGAGAAGGAGAAGGAGAAGGAGAAGGAGAAGGAGAAGGAGAAGGAGAAGGAGAAGGAGAAGAGGGTTTGTTCTGACCAAGTGCCTATCTCCCAAACAAGCTCTGAATTACAGGCCAAAGGGGACAGAATCTAGACTATCATCTACCAGTAAACCAGTGGCCAGGATTGTTATAAAGGATGCCAATTTAGCTCCTCAAGAAAGAACTTTCTTGTAAGAAACATCATTGAAAGCCTGATCTATAATTGCATCTGGGCCCACTTCATTCCACGCACATGCCTCCTACGTGTCAAAGGCTTGTTTCAAAGAAAGAGTAGTTGGTGGGGGATTCTCACCAGCTTTCCTCTTTGCCCATTCCCTGCCTGGAATAATCTGTGCTGGCGTTGCAGAAGCCTGACAATATTCATGGTCTCATCTGGGTTTGCTTTTGATCTGGAAAGACACGAGATAGCAGGGCATCTTTAAAAAAACAACAACAAAAACTTCCTCCTTTATGAGATCAGCTTTGCAAAATATGGGTTTTTGTAATTGTGGGAAAAATCACCACAGTTGTAAACTGGCAAGCTGGAAATGCAAATATTATGTACAGATGAGTTAAAGAATTAAGTCCTTTTGTTCTAGATTTGAATAACAGACATACAGTAAGGACAACAAAGTTAGAGTTCAGGGTCTTTGCGCATGGTTATCTTATGAGATCTGAACATCTATCTTCTGGATTCTCTATTTATTTCCATAGTGAACAGAGAGCTCCTAACATAGTCATTTATCTAGGCAATGATCACAGACAAATTTTAGTTGGTCCCTGTTGTTCTAATATCTAGTCTTCAGTTTAGCTCATCCCATGTCCATATCCGGTGGAGGTCTTTCTTTTGGCAAAATAAGTACATTATAGGGCGCCCTTTTTCCCAACACATACCTTTTCACAAGCAACTTCTCCTAATGCATGGGTTTTTTTAAGCTGATGTTGTCACGTGTTCCCAAAATGCAAAATCTGCACATTCTTTAAAATTGAGCAATTAGAGTGCCCAATTGAGAAAAGTGTGGCTTCCAAGGGATAATTGTGTTTCATGTCACAATATCGGCACTCAGGTGCGTGTTTGGGTAAATCTGCCACATCAGATGTAAATAGAATTAATTTCTTCCACGATCCTTAAATAGAAAGAACAGGATTTTTTTTAAAAAAACTGGTCATTTGTCCTCCTTCGGCCTGGAATTTGACCAGTAAGCTGTGCTGTTAGCACACCTACTCTTGAAACGAATTGCTGTTCTTGCAGTATTTTCCTTCCCTCTGTGAATCTGTTCCCCAAAGCTGTCTGATATGTGGTAGAGAGATGAAACGTAAAGCTGTTGTTTGAAGAAGAGACAATAGCTTGGCCTTAGAGGACCCGGAGTAGTTTAGTGGGTGGGAAGAGCTCAGCTACAAGAACTGTTCTCAGGGTGGGATGGGTGACATCATCTGCCTCCTGCAGTCATGGGGGCTCCATTGCTGGGGGGTTTCGAGCAAAGGTTGGACAGCCAATTGTCTGGGATGATCTGGGGATTCCTGATCTTCTGGGAATTCCTGATCTGGGCAGGGGGTTGGACTAGAAGACTTCCCAGGTCCCGTCCAACCTCGGGGTTCTGTGATTTGCCATCCTGCCAGAAGAATTGACAGACCCCCCACCACCACCACCACCACCAAGCGGTGCTGGTGATAACAAAGCTTTCAAGTTTTGTTATTTTCAGGGACCGATTCTTCTGGAGAAACCCCACTGCTTTTTTGAGCATGTAACACTCCCGTTTTTTTGTCTATCTACCAGACTGTTTTTAATCAAAGTAATATGGCCCTCAAACAAAAGCATTCTGCCCAAATGCATGATGTCTGGTGATGCTCTGGTTAATATTGTTCAGCTTCAAATGTCCTCCTTGGAGGATCTTGCACCTGGTCCTTCTTTTCAGATCTAGAAAACTGAGCTCTGTCACAAATTAAGCAAGGCCTGGGTTTGGTAATATGTAAATCCAATCAACTAATAAATGTTTCATCAACAGCTAACCTATACGCTTGGAGGTTAGATGGAGGAGCGTTCATGAAACTAGTCTTCAGTGGATGATATGGAATTATCTCCCCATCTAATGTCTGTGAGCAGTACTGCAGTGTTTACCCCTTAGAGGTTTTCTTGATTTTCTCCCAGCCAGCCACCTTACAAAATCAGTTCTCTGTTGCATTTGCAGGAAACATTCCCAAGTTCCTGAACTGAACCTCCCCAAAAAGTTAATTGTGCAATCCATCTGGTTCTTGCAAGAAGTTGTCAGGTGTGACGAAAACCTCTCTCAACATCACTTCTTTTTCAGTGTCTTTCTTTGGAGATGGCCATGTGGAGATCCCCTTGGTCCACAAATACAGCACCATCCATCTTCATGTGCAGTTCTACACCAGCTATCACAGTGCTCTACTCTTCTTGGCCGCTGGACAAAAGGATTATCTTCTTCTAGAGCTCCGTGCTGGTGTCCTACAGGTCAGCAAAATATTTCCCTGGATTGGGGGTGGGGGGGCATAAGGAACACGTCAAAGACCATGTGTGAGTGGTGCATAGAAGAATATCTGGTCAAGCTGGAAGTCAGCACACCCAGAATAAAAGCTTCCTCTTTTTTAAATCCCATAAATTGATGAGCTACGTCAATTCTCTCTTACCTTACCCAGTCCTAACACTGCTAGTCTTTAATTTGGACTGATTGTCTATGATTAGATTTCCAAAATCTTCTTAGGCCCAAGGACCACATCTGGACCCCTCTGGACCACAGTTTATGCACCCATGTCTTACCAACTTTACATCCTCTTGCCACAGAAACTAGAAGCAGAAATAATGGGTATAAATTGCAGCTACCGAGATTTCATTTAAATATCAGGAAAAACATTCTGATTGTAAGAACTATCCAGTTGTGGAACAGGCTACTTTTGGAGGCGAGTTCTCCTTTTCTCAGACTTTTAAGAAAAGGCTGGGTAGTTGAATTAGTATTCCTGCACATTGCAGAGGGTGGCTCCTTCCAACTCTACAATCCTATGATGCTGTACAACTGATTATTGTATAACTGTGCACGTGTTGCTAGTTAACAGGATGAAACTTGAGGGAGTTCAGAATAGGAACTCCCTCCTCCCACTTGAAGGATACCATATCAATTCGTCTCCCGATGAATCCAGATCCACTCATTTCTGTCACTATCCCTTCCCAGACGAGGCCTCACCTTGTTAACTTTTGGAAGAGGAAGTTCTGAGAAAGTTCACTTGCCTGTGAGCCCCATCCTTAAAGACATGGCTAGAAGAGTCATTCCCCCAGGGAAGCATGGGAATCCATACACCCTCCCATTTCTCATGGTCCCCCTGCTGCAAGACCATTCTGCTACTATCACCGTTGCTTAGAACTAAAAGGAAGGAAAAAGGAAGGAATAGAAGCCCTTGGGGGAACGGGCTTGCAATTATGGACTGCGGGAAATTGTTTGATGAATTAAGAACTAAACTGGGGGAAGAACAGAGCTTCTATCGGGAGACGGGGAAATGTCTAAATTTTGAATGCCAGAAGGATGGGGGGGGGGTTGCTTTTCATTTTAAAGGGAATGGTGTATGTTTAACTCAGAAAGGAGTTTAAACCAAGATGTTTAAACTGTACCATTCTGCAACAGTGAAATCATCTTGCCCCCATCAAGGCGGCTAGCAAACGCAAAGCTTTTCCACCATTCAGAAAATGGAAACTGACTGTTCAACATTATTATGCTGTCTTTTGTCTCCTCTTTGTGCAGGCCAGAATGGACCTTGGCTCAGGAGAACTGATTGTCAGGTCTCCAGCAGAAGTACAACTCAATAATCTCGTGACTCATGACACTGATCTTTTGGTGACAGATGGCCAGATGATCTTGATTGTGGATGGCCTCTTTAATACATCCACAGAAATTCCAGAGCCTCTTCAAGAGTTGGACATTGATTATGGGCTCTATGTGGCAGGTACAGGAAACCTGGAATTGTCATACCTCACTGGAGTGAGTTTGCCATTCCGGGGCTGTCTCCATACTTTGACATTTAATGATCACGATGTCCTCTCTGCACTGGCAACCAGCACTGACATCAAAGCATCCCGTGGCATCCGTGAGGGATGTAGTGAAGAGTTCTCTGCTGGCCCTGAGGTTCCTTTCGGCTTCCTAGGGCCAAGCTCTTATATCACATTCCCTGGCTGGAATGTAAGGAATGAAGGTACCATAGAGTTTGTAATCACCACAAGCGTCAAACAGTCCCCTCTGATTTATCAGTCAGGGCTGAAAAAGGATTTCTTCTATCTGGAAATCTTTGATGGACACTTAAGAGGTGTGGTAGAGAAAGGGAAAGGCCTTGTGGTGCTTCACAACAACATCTACCTCAGCAATGAGCAGGATCACTATGTCAAGGTCCACTTGGACAACCGAAAATTTGAGATCCTTGTTGACTACTATGTCTCACAGACCTCTAGCAAGGGGATCCATAGCTACCTCGATCTTCAAGGACCTCTTTTTGTTGGTGGTCTGAATGAGAAGGCTGCCATCAGAATGAAAGAGCGTGGACTGGGTCTTATATCTGTGAACAGCTTCTTCAATAACTCCTTTGTGGGTTGTATGGAGGACCTGAGGATTAATGAGGAAAGGAAGAGCCTGCAAGATGCTCTTGTTACTAAAGACATAACTGCTGGCTGTGGAAAGTTGGATCAGTACTCAGACTATGACAATATTTATGAACAGGATGAAGCCACCACAAGCTCTCCTCTAGACAGTTGGCAGGGTCCTGTTATACCCTGTCGCCCTGATCCTAGCCTCCCACCAGTCTTTACTAACTTCACCCAACTATTGCACGTCAGTCCCTTGGTAGTTGCTGAAGGAGGCACGGCTTTTTTGGAGTGGTGGCACATTCAGCCAACCATTGACCTGAACAGTGCAAACATCAGGCAATCTCAGGTTCTCTTCAGTGTCACTACAGACCCAAGACATGGGCAATTGGAACTAAACCTCTCCAGAGTCAGGAGCAGAGGGAAGTTCACCCTGTTGGACATTGTGAATCGGAAAATCAAGTATGTTCATGATGGTTCTGAGGGACCCATGGATCTGCTGCTCTTGGAGGTCACCGTCACTGCCAGAGGAGATATTCCGGAGTGTTTGTGGCAAGGCCAGACATATTTGCTACCCATTAAAATCAACCCAGTCAATGATGCTCCTGAAGTGATTTTTCCAGATGGAGATCACATGGTCATCTTGGAACACACACGCAAACATCTCAACCCAGACATTGTTCAAGCACATGATGATGATACCCCTTGTGACAGCTTGCGATTCCAAGTGCTTGGTGGGAAGAGAATGGAAGAAGGATATCTGGAATATGACTTCGATCCTGGAGTCCCAATTGAAGAGTTTTCCTGCAGAGATCTAGAAGCAGGCCATGTGGTCTATGTCCATCAAGATGGGCCTGTATCCACCCTTACTATCCAAGTTAATGATGGCATGGTGATGAGTCCAGTGGCCACCTTGAGGATAGATGCAGTGGAACCAGATATCCAGGTCCACAACAACACAGGACTCTTTGCCCTTCAAGGGGACACTATTTCAATAACCAAAGCCAACCTTTCTGTGGCTATTAATGCAGTCCAGCAAAAAGTACCTGTGTTGTATCGTTTGACTTCACCCCTCCAGTATGGTGAAATCCAGAAGCAAGGAGGCCTGAGTGGAGAGTGGAAGAAAATAGAATCTTTTTACCAGCAGGATGTTGATCAAGGGCGTATCCAGTATGCTAGCACAGATGATGAACACCGAGTAGAAGACATGATTGAGAAGCTGCAGTTCACCATCCAAGTAGGCCAGAAGATTCTGAAAAACAACACCTTCCTCATCAGAATTAAAAGGGCTACCATCAGAATGAAAACCATGGTCCCACTCCAGATGAAAAATGAGAAAGAAAAAAACATCACATCTGCTGAACTGGAGGCAGTTTTGGAAGAACCAGGTTCTAACCAAGTGACTTTCCACTATGTGATCCTTCAGCCACCAAAAAAGGGAAATCTTGAACTTCGGGGCACTAGGCTGGCTGATGGCTTAGGTTTTACACAGGAGGATTTGCAGAGTCATCAACTGAGTTACACTGCGACTGTTAGAGACTCAAAGGAGACAGAAGATTTCTTCCAATTCCGGATCATGGCTAAACCATATTATTCCCCTGTATATACTTACAAAATGGAGATAGGGGGAGATCCAGATGCCCCTGTCCTGACTAATGTCCTTTTGTCCATTTTAGAAGGAGGGCAGGCCATAATCACCAAGGACTACTTGTTTGTCAAGAGTGTCAACAGTATGAACTACATGTATGAAGTGATAGATGGTCCAACACATGGGAAGCTGATCTGGAGAACCCCTGAGCCTGGGGCAACCGGTGAGGAGACAATAACAACATTCACAAATGAAGATATCCTACAAAATCGCCTTGTGTACCAGCATGATGATTCTGAGACCCTAGAAGATGACATCCCATTTGTAGCCATGAAGCAGGAGGAGGGAAGCTTTGACTCAGAAGCTGAGGAGGTGAGAGGCGTCTTCAGAGTCTCCATTCAGCCTGTAAATGACCACACCCCAGTTCAGTTGGTCAACAAAGTCTTTAATGTGGTGCGTAAAGGTCAGCGCCTGATGACCACAGAAGACATAGCCTTTATTGATGAAGATTCAGGCTTCTCAGATGCACAGCTGGTGTTGGTAAGAAAGGATATTCTTTTTGGTAACATCATTGCTGCAGATGATAGAAGTAGCCAGCTGTATCGCTTCACTCAAGATGACCTGAGGAAGAAAAACATCCTCTTTGTCCACTCAGGAGCTGATCGAGGTTGGATTCAGTTCCAGGTTTCTGATGGTCTACACCAGATTACCGCTTCACTCAAGATGACCTGAGGAAGAAAAACATCCTCTTTGTCCACTCAGGAGCTGATCGAGGTTGGATTCAGTTCCAGGTTTCTGATGGTCTACACCAGATTACAACACTTCTCGAAGTGCAAGCTTCAGACCCTTACATCAAGATCAACCATACTGGCTTGGTCATTCACCAAGGTAGCCATGGGGTCATTGACTCCTCTGTCCTCATCTTGGAAACCAACATGGATATCAGGAATGACCAGGACATCCTCTTCCGTATCCTGGCCCCACCCATGTGGGGAGTGTTGCTACGAGGTGGGCAGGAAATCTCATCTTTTACAAAAAGGGACCTTCTGGCAGGAGAAATTATTTACCATCACAATGGGAGCAGGAATTCCCAAGATATTATTCACTTTTCTGTTGAAGCAAACCAGGTGTCTGTGGAAGACACATTGAAAGTTACCATATTAACAGATTCCCATCCTCACCCACTAAATATTGTTCACAATGAGAGAATACACGTCCTCCAAGGAGAAGCAATGCAGATTAAAAATGACTATTTGCTGGTAAGCTATACTTGCCCTAATTTTTTGTTTCTTTATTTACTTCCTCTTCCCCTGAAAAAGTCCTTAAAATAACAAAGTAGGAGGAATAGGAATATTCTGCAAATTTAAGGATTTTAAGGGGTCTTTTAGGTTTATTGTTTAACAAGATTTAGATAGCGATCTTGTAATATTTAGAGTCATAGAAGTGCTAGAAGTTCTTATAGGCTATCTAAGCTCACAAGATCACTGTATAGGATATTAAAAGATGGTTGTGGTGAGCTTAATATAGGATATATTAAATATAGATGGACTTATTTTGGACACTTCCATCCAGGAACAGGCTACCTTGGCCTTCAGGCAATTGGCTCCATTCCTAAACCACTCTTATCATCAAGAAGGTGCATGCAATAATCCAAATTTAATCTCCAGTATCTTCAGGGAGGTTAGGAAACACCTCTGTCTGAAGCCCTGGAGAGCTACCATTCACTCGGCGTGGAGAATATTAACTAGATCAGGGTTACACAACTTTTTCAAGTTAAGGGCCATACTTTGAGTGGCGTGTGGAAGGTTGCATGCATCCAGATGAACAGGTCAAAAACTAAACACCCAAGGTGTAGGGGAACTGCAGGCCTGGAACTGCGGGCATCCACAGAAGGGCATGAGGGGCCAACTAATATCCCATACCTCATGACATCTTCCTGAGAACAATGTGAGTTATGTAACATGTGTCAGTTACATCATTTGCACAATAGCATGATGATACACATGACATCACTACAGATTGTATTAGATGGTTATGCCTGGATCCTAAGATTTTTTAGACTGGACAAGGTAGAGCAATGGCACTTGCCTATATTCTTAAGAATATCCCAGGAGATTAGTGTTTCTAGTTCAGGGTTACGTTAGTCCACAGTGTCTGTTACAGTACAATTACTCTGAACTATGATGCATTGACTTTAATGGGATTTTCTCTGAAGTCTGTAAAATTCCAGTCTTGTTTTCATGCATCTGTTTTCTAATGGATCTAGCCACTGGATAAGAGAAAAATCTATGTAGTCTAGCTAATATTCCAGTTCAGTGATGACCACAAGGTGGGGAGGAGAAAGAAAATGAAAAGAAGTCCATTAACAATCAAATGCAATCAACCTGAAAGAAAGAAATCTTAAACCTTTCCTTCTTCATCCAATTCGCAGGTTGAGCATGAAGAAATTGAACCTCAAAACATTGTCTATACAATCACCCTCCCTCCCCAATCAGGATTTCTGGTGGCTTTGTCTCACAACCATGCCTCAGATGAACCCCCAAGCCTGGATCCCATCCAGACCTTCACCCAGGAAGATGTTAATGAAGGCAAAGTCCTCTATCTGCATTCCAGCCCTGAGATTCAGAGAGACCACTTCACCGTTGATATTACAGCTGATGGGGTAGATGCTCTGAAAGAGATTGTGGTGGACCTGGAGATCCTTCCCATTTCAGTCCCCCTGGAGGTTCACAATTTCACAGTGACTGAAGGGAGCAGCCAAGTGCTTTCCATGGATATTCTGAATATTCCCAGTACTTACTCTTCATATTTCAATGTAGAATTTGTGATTGTCGAGATACCAGAGTATGGCATCTTCCAGAATATGGAAAGACCTGAAGAGGGCAGCTTAAATGCTTTCTCCTGGTATGAGGTAGGAAGCAACACAATCTCTTTATGTTTGTTTATTTGAGACATGGCCAGTCCTTCTTGAAATATCTCTGCTGGTAATGCAGGATTTACTGTCGCACTTGAGAATCTCAGGTTGGATGGATGTAGCCTAATCTTAAGCTACAGTCCAGGATAAGATCTGCAACTCTGGTTGCTTCTTGTCATTAGTTTTCCAAACTCCAGGCCTCCAATTCTATATTTGCATGCAGAAGAAAACTACCTCCACCAGGAAAATAAAAGGGCATCTTTCTTTTAATTTAAAACATGGCTGTTGTTTTTTTGTCCAGTCATATGGATGCCTGTAGAGGAAACATGAAAGGCATGGATGACAGTCATCCATTATATGGACATGCACCTTTGCTGGATGGAGACATTGATGTGTAAAAAGTTGCCTTATGATGGCCCTCTTTGTGGCAGCCTCTCTATTCTAGTCTATCTGGGATCATATCTAATCCCTTTAGGATTAACTGGCTGGGTCAACTGATCTAGTTTTCCTCCTGACACAACATACTGATCCCCCACATGACTCAGTTAAGCAGGTTATGCAACTAGAACCACCAAATTAGACATTTTTGTCCATTGGTTCAAGCAGTACACACCCAGTACTGTCCACCCAGTAAGTCATATCTCCAAGTTTTTAGATTTTCCCAACTCTCCATGGCACTGATGAACCTTCTACATCTGTGTACCCTGTGACATTTAGGCATAAAGAAGTATTTGCTTCCACAAGCATCTTGGTTGACCCAAGTTTCAGATTTTACTAAGAACCATCCCAGCTTCATTGAAATTTAATTTCCCCACAGTCCCTTAGAAATAAATGTGAATATGTAAAGAGGCAGAATTTGAGCCAGGACTCTTATCACAATGTCCTCCTTGTGTTTAGGTGGAGAATCAGCTCATCAAGTATGTGCATGATGGAAGTGAATCCTTGACTGACAGATTCACAGTTGTTGCCAATGTTTCTGAAGTTAATCAACAGAGCCAACCCAAGACAATCTCCATTAGCATCACTCCAGTCAATGATGAGGCACCAGTGCTAATGGTCAACACAGAACTGCAGGTACTTACTTCAAGAGTGGTGGGTGGAATTTTCAGGTTACCCTGGGTTGCTCCCCAAAATCTTAGTCTAGTTATAGCTATTAAGTGGAAACTTCAGATGGTTGTGGAGACACCTATAAGTCTTGGCCTAACAAACAGAAGTAGCATAAAACGTATATTTATTGTTGCTGTTGTTCAGTTGTTCAGTTGCCTCCAGATTTTTGTGACCCAGTGGATATCATTTTGCCAGGACTGTCTGAACTTCCTTCAGTCCTCGTAAGCTCCTCCTTACGTCACCAGAGATAATATCTAGCCACCATGTATTCTACTGTCTTCCATTTTTCCAAGCCTCAGATCTTCTCCAATGATTCCTGCCTTAGCATTATGGGTCCAAAATATTTAAGCATCAGCTTCATTATTAGTTTTTTTGTACTCTTAACCATTTTCTCCAGAACTAAAATTCAAAGCCATTTTTTTTTCTCTGTTCAGCCTTTTGGAGGGTTCAGCTTTCACAACCACAAGTTACAACTGGGACAACTATGGTCTTCATGACAGTGTGACAGCTCTGTACTTTAGGATTTTGTGTAGAATTGAGTTTGTTCTCCTGAGGAGCAGGGATCTCTGCATTTCATAGCTACAGACAACATTTCTGTGACTTTTTGAGCCGAGGGAGATAAACTCTCTTACTTCTTGAGGTTCTTCTATGGCTGTTTGCTTTGGATAGCACTGCCTGTTGCCATCAGCTTAAGACTTGGCTTCTTGCTGTTGTCGTTTTGAACACTGAACAGCTGGCTGGGTTTTGCACTCTCTTTTTTTCACCCTCAGCAACAGATTCTTTAAGTCTACATTTCCACTAAAATCTAGAAAGAGATCCTTATGGGTTTTAGATCTCCAGGTCAGCTGATTGTTAGCAGTGCCAGAGACAAGGAAAGGCCAGGGTAGCAGAAGACCAAATCATGCAAACCTTGCCCTTTTTTTTCCACTGAGTCCTCGACTCTGATTTAGACCTTGAGAGATGAAGGCCGGGTGGAAATGTCTAACCCTTTTCTTTTTTTAAAAAAAAATGCATTGATTGATTCTGCATTCCCGGAAGGGAGTGCCCAAATACCATCTCATTCCTTTTGCCATCTTTTGCCTGGCAGGGTAAGTCGTTGCTCACAAGATGGCAGTAGAAATCCATGTAGCCATTTCCAACTTGCAATGGAAGTTGATGACAAGATGTACTTTTTAATATAAAAGAGGCAGGAATCATCTTTCAGCCACCCATTAGTGTTATTGTTAAATTATTCCAGGGTGCTCTAAAAGAGTGAATAACGGTGCCATCTCAGCACACAATCTTCCCTTCCTTTCAGTACCACCTTCTGAAATTCAACTGCCTGTTAGTAACACCTCATTAATCATTCACCAAGGAGAGCAATATGAGGGCCATCCTTGTTTTCCACTACTTGATCTCATTAAATTGTTTTTCTCATTACACACAGATACACATTTTCTCTTTTGGGGTCGCTTGGCCCAAGCGTTGCTTATCCTTCTCAGCTCCTTGCTCTAAAAGCCAAGTGTGGGAGGAAACCTCTCACCTTTAAGGGGCACACCTGAGCAAGAATACAGGTGATCCTGTTTTTTAAAAAGATATGCCCCGTGATCACTATTATTTTAAATTAGACCTGTTTGTTCCACAGCTGAATGAACTTGTTGATCTTCCACAAAGATCAGAAATGTTAGAGAAACTCATTCTTTTTTTTTTCTTTTTACATTTTTAAACTAATTCAGCGGCAGACTTCACCAATCTGACAGGTCCATTGGTGCCTTATTTTCAGTTGCTTCTTGTATCCTTGACCTGACATCTTTCTACATGTGGGATTCTGTTTGGGGTGGAAGAAGCATTCCAAAATAGAAGCCCTCTCCTCTTCAATCTGTAGTCTGAAGCAGGACAGCCTTGACTGTGCCTGCCAGCCAGGACTAGGCCTCTGATAGTCCAAGAGAGAGCTGAAGTTAGCCATGACAGGATTACAGATGGCACCTTAGAGGTCACCTAGTCAAGTCCTTGCTCAGATAGAGCAGGGTTTTTCTAGTTGTGTTCCACAGAACTCCTGGGAGAGATGAAGGCCAGAAGGAAAAAGAAAAACATTCACTCAAAGACAGCCCATTTTCAAACACTAGAGCTTTGCTTCTTGATCAGGGGGTCCAGGAATTATTATTTTTTAATTAAGAGGTCCCACTGACCCCAAAAGTTGGAAAATGCCCTGCTCTAGAGTATCGCTGACAGAGGACCATCCAAGGCCTCTCCTGAAGGAGAATTCACACTTCATGTTGCAGCCTGTGCTGCCAGCAATCAAGCCCTACCATCAGGAATTTCCTTCCTGCCATTTTAACCCCTTAGTTCTCATCCTGCCCTCTGGGGTTAATAGAGAACTTGAGTGTCTCGTGTTTTGATGGCTGAGCAAAGAGCTTTGTATTAATCCAAATAACAGATAATGATTGCAAGCAAAGGCTGGCCAGCAGAGTCCCTAGACATTCAAGTGTGCCAGCTCCCTTCAGGCAGTTCTGCTCTAAACAAATTCCAAAATTAACCCCCCAAACTAGAATTTTAAGAATAGCAGACCTGGGCTACAAAATTCCAGAGAATCATTGCAGGCAGGCAGAAGTTGGAGCTTCCTTCCACCTGGAGGTCATCTAGATGGAGCTCCTAAGTCAGTGTTGTCCAAACTTGGCCACTTTAAGATGAGTGGACCC